GAAGCCTGAAAACTATTTCATTCACCACTTTCATTAATGGAAACAATTAACGTGAAACAATAGCGAAAAGATCCTTTTATTTACTATCTACAATTACTATTCAGAAGCGTCCATAACCTTACGGGCGTGAAACAATAGTGAAAAGGATATTGTTATTTACTATCTACAATTACTATTAAGAATCGTCCATGACATCACCGGACTTGAAACGAAAAGGATAATTTTATTTACTATCTACAGTTACTATTAAGAAGCGTCCATAACCTTACCGGACTTGAAACAATAGTGAAAAGGATATTGTTATTTCCTATCGACAATCACTGTTAAAAAATCGTCCAAAACCTTACCGACCTTGAAACAATAGCAATAAGGACGATAATGTTATTTACTCTCTACATTTACTATTAAGAATCGTTCGTGACATCACCGGACTTGAAACGAAAAGTATCATTTTATTCATTATGTACATTTACTATTAAGAATCGTCCATAACCTTACCGGACTTGAAACAACAGCAATAAGGATAATAATATTATTTATTATCTACATTTACTATCAATTCTATTTACTACCTACAGTTACTATGAAGAAGCGTCCATAGCCTTACCGGACTTGAAACAATAGCGATCGTATTTAATCTGATCGTCCACATTGCAGCCATCGTCAGGGTCTTTGGATGCCGGGAGGAGTTCGCGTCCATCTAGAGTCACCTGGGAGAGTGAGTGCGAGTGTAAAGTGTCAATGGAAAGTAAATGGTGAATGGGAGAAGTTAATGGTTATCTGAGGAGAGGATGGGGGAGTAAATGGGTGTAAGAGAGTAATGGAAAGAATCAGCGAAGAGATGGTATATAGAAAGCGTTAATAGACACCTGGGCAGAGTATGGGAGAGTAAATACGAGTAAAAGAGTAAAGGAGAGTCAGTGAAAAGGGAAAGATGAATAAGAAGGGTTAAGAGTCACTTAGGGAGAGTATGGGAGAGTAAAGAAAAGAGTCAATAAAAAGGAATAGATGAGAGCGAAAATTAATAATGCGCGTAAAAGAGTAAAGAATGAAGTAAAGGAAAGTAAATGGTGAAGAGGAAGAGTTAATGGTCATCTAAGGAAAATATGGGAGACTAAGTATAAGTAAAAAAGTAAATGACAAAGTAAGTGAAAAGGAAATGGTATATAAGAGGAGTTAATAACTATCTGAAGAGAGCCTGGGAGAGTAAATACGAGGGAAGAGTAAAAGAAAGAGCCAATAAAAAGGAAAAGATGAATTACGAAATATTAATAGTCACCTAGAGAGAGTATGGGAGAGTAAGTATGAGTAAAGAGAAAAAAATGGAAGTAAATACTAAATAAAAAAGAGTAAATAGTCTCCTGGAGAGAGTATAGGAGAGTAAATAAAAAAAAAAATCCTTTCCCTTAAAAAAAAATATATTCCTTTAAGCTTTCACCACTTAAAGTCTTTCCCTACCTGCGAATCTAACAGGCCATCCTTATGTATCCTGAGTGAACCGAGTTGTTCATCTGACGTTCCGTAAATCACAGAACCGTCCAAGAAAGCTGTCTGTTGGTTGATCTGTTCCCTTGGGCCTGGGGAAGCATGATAGTGAGAGTAATAAGGATGATGATAATGATAATGATAATGACAGTTATTTTGATATTTACAATAATGGTAATATAATAATAATAATAATAATAGTAATAATAGTAATAAATAAATAAATTATAATAACAACAATAACAATAATAATAATAATAATAATACATTTAATAGTAATGATGATTTTAATAATAATGATAATAATAATAATAATAATAATAATAATAATAATGAATAAATAAATAATAATAACAATAATAATAATAATAATACATTTAATAGTAATGATGATTTTAATAATAATAATAATGATAATAACAATAGCAATTTCAATAATATTAACAATATCAAATTCAATAATATTAACAACATCAAATTCAATAATATTAACAATGTCAAATTCAATAATATTAACAATATCAAATTCAATAATATCAACAATGTCAAATTCAATAATATTAACAATATCAAATTCAATAATATCAACAATGTCAAATTCAATAATATTAACAATATCAAATTCAATAATATTAACAATATCAAATCCAATAATATCAACAATAACAATAATAATTAACAATAAAAATAAAGATACAAACAGTAATAATAACACCCCCCATTCCCACCACCAACAGACACAACCCCCTCCCTTTCCCACCCCCCACCCCGTCCCCTCCCCCACCCCGTCCCCTCCCTTCCCCTCCCCATACGCACCGAAATTACACCTAGACGAAGGGGCGGAGCGTGTGAATTCCATACAGGTGAGGTTGTGGGCGGCGTAGAAGTGATCGTCATGAGGCACTGGGATCGAGGCGCATTGAGGGTGTAGCAGGGACGGTTCCTCAAGGACTTCGACGGAACAGCAGGGAATGGCACTGTTGTTGGAGCCTGCGGGGAGGGGAGAAGAGAGGAAGGGGTGGATTTTGGGTGGAGAGTGTGGGTGGAAGTTTGGATTTTTGGTGGGGAGTGTGGGTGGAAGTTTAGATTTTTTTTTCGTTTTATTTGTTTTTTGTCTTTTTTTTTGGTTTTGTTTTTTGGTTTTGCTTTGGGTGTTTTGTTTTGTTTCGTTGGTTTTGATTTGTTTTTTGTTTTGTTTTGTTTTTTAATGTTTTGTTTGTTTATTTGTTTGTTCATTTGATTTATATTTGTATTTGTTTATTTGTTTGCTATTTGTTTACTTTTTATCTGTTTATATTTTTACTTTTTATCTATTTACCTTTTACTTCTTTTTGTTTAATTATCCATCTACTTGTCTTAGCTATTTATCTATTAACTTTATTATCTATATATCTATTTTTTTGCCTATTTATCTATTCACTTTTTATTCATTTGTCAACTTATTTGTCTACTTATTTATTTCTTATTTATGCATTAATGTTTACTGATTTATTTAGTTTAGAGAGAGAGATAGACAGAGAGACAGACAGACAGAGAGAGACAGACAGACAGACAGAAAAAGACAAAGACAGAAAACGCATAAAATAAAACCAAAAACAAAAAGAAAAGCAAAACAAAACAAAAGAAAAAAACACAAAAGTCAAAATAAAAAAAAGACCAAAAAAAAAAAATAATAATAAAAAGACAAAAAAAAAATCTTCCCCAAAATTCTCCAAAACCAACCTTTGGACAACGCAGTGGCCGTGATGTCATGGTCGACGAACTGCCCCCAACTCATGGTAAGAACGGTATAGGAGCGAGATTCGACGAGCTTATTACTGTGGACGATGTTGGTGATGAGACGAGCGCTGGGGAGGTCGGTGCCGTCGCGGGCCAGGCGGAGAGAAGACACACCTGGGGGGAGAGGGAGAGGGAGAAGGAGGGGTGGGTTTAGTATGTTTGGTCTGTGGAGGGTATCAGGCTGAAGAGATGGGTTGGTATCGTATACAAGAGAGAGAGAGAGAGAGAGAGAGAGAGAGAGAGAGAGAGAGAGAGAGAGAGAGAGAGATAGGTAGATGTATTTATCAATGCATATTAGCATACACGCACACACACACACACAAACTAGGGCATGCGAGTATGTATCTTTATACCCATTCTCTTCGTAGCCATTTCCTCTCCGTTCTGGGACACATATTTTCATCCTCTTTCCTGAGTATTTTTATTTCACATTCTACATTCTCGCCCCTTGTTCCAAAATAGTTTTAACATTTCCCTTTTCTTCTCCCCTTCTCCTTCCCCTCCCCCCTTTTCCTCCTTCGTCATCCACCTGTATTGTTTGTCAACCGCAAGAGACGTCCATCCACCGTCTTCCTCTCAGATTTCAGTCCTTCTCTCCTGGCCGCCACCGCATCCTCTCCTCGGGTTTGTCTTGATATAATTCTAATTACTGAATTATCTCTGCGTGTAATTCAGAAGGAAATGTGGATTTGACTTCAACACGAATAATCTTATACGTCAGTTACATTATTATTACTTCTTTTCCAGTTATTAATCACTACAAAAAAGTATTTATGCATTATAGTTCGTCTACACATTCTTAGAATCCCAAAGGACATGCTATAAAACTGTTCAATCCTAATTAAAATCACAATGATATTAATGCACGTCTGCCCCAACAGCAAGCATTACGAAGTAGGGTAGACGGCAATGTGCAATGATCTCATACTCTGATGTAATCCGAGTTGGACGTCTGCCTTGCAACTGAATCAATGATTGGGGAACGATATCCTTGTGTAGACGAGACGCTGGGTAATACACTCTGTTGTGCTAATTTTACGCTCGTTTTTTTAGTCATATGTGTGTTTTTATGGGTATTGAAGTAGTCTAGTATATATGTATATATTGTGCAAGTATGATCCGGTATATAAACACGTATACGCTTACTAACAACTATAGACATAACATATACATGTACAAACATATGTATAAACATACAAGAACAGTGATGCACATGAAATGAAATTAGACACAGCAACAGTGAGAAAAGAAATGCAAAATCCGACGTTTTGAGCTAAATTAAACTCCTCGTCAGACTGTAAAAACGAAATGAATCAGTTTCGGCTTTCCTGTCTGGCGCGGCTTCTAGTCTGATGTAAAACGTCACATTTTAGTATTATTAGAAACAAAATCTTACTATTTCTTCTTTTTCTTGCTTATTCTTTTTACTTTTTATTTCATTCTTTTCATTTCTTACTCATTTATTTGCATTCTTATTTTGGAACATACCTTCGAGCAAAATGTATTGTCTCTTATTATTCGATTTATTTATCATTTTCTCGTCTTCATTTATTTTTTTCCCTAGAGAGTTTTAGGTCCTTCATCTAAGTCGTCCTGAATTTTTAATCCGTTTGTTTCATTTAGGAATAAATCCCATTTGGTATTCTAACTCACGTGATATGTATCGGGTTTCAGTGTCATATCGTAACATACTCCAGAAACACGGATTTATTTGTGTAGGTAATTTAGGAAGAATTTATTTACTTTAGGTCAAAGTATCTCAGTCCCTCTTCAAAGAAAGATTAAGAAGAACCGTTATTCCCTCTGAGTACAAAGAGAGTAAATATTTTTTTAAAAGTAGTTGCCGGATTTCTAGATTATTTACCATAGGTCAAAGTAGCTCAGTCCCGTTTTAAGAGAAGGGTTCAGGTAGCTCATTACTCCTTCTGAGAACAAGGAGAGTAATTCTTTTTTTCTTTTTTGAAGTTGCCGGATTTTTGGGTCGTCTGTGGTTGAAATGCGACATCCTAGTCCAAAGGAAGTTTCAGAGAGCGCCTGTTTCCTTCATTAGTTGCAAAGAAAACAGATATTTTAGGATTTCTAGGACGTTTTATCATTCATTTGGGGTCGGAATAGTATAATCCCCATCTAAAGAAACTTTAAGATAACTTCCTTTTCTCTTCCTGAGTGCAGAGATGGTTGTTATTTTAGTCAAGTTTCCGGATCCTTTTGTCATTCATTTTGGGTCCGAATGGTATGTCGCCTCCTGTAGAAACTTTAAGATAATCCCTTCTTCTCTCCCCGAGGGCGTAGATAGCAGATATTTTAGTCTTGTACCCGGATTACATTATCAGAAATTTTGAAATACCTCCTTTCTTTTCTTTCTTTGAATGCAAAGAGAGTATTTTATTTTTTTTATGTTTCCAGACTTTAGTTATTCGTTTGGAATCTGAATGCCACACTTACTTACTTACTTACTTACTTACTTACTTACTTACTTACTTACTTACTTACTTACTTACTTACTTACTTACTTACTTACTTACTTACTTACTTACTTACTTACTTACTTACTTACTTACTTACTTACTTACTTACTTACTTACTTACTTACTTACTTACTTACTTACTTACTTACTTACTTACTTACTTACTTACTTACTTACTTACTTACTTACTTACTTACTTACTTACTTACTTACTTACTTACTTACTTACTTACTTACTTACTTACTTACTTACTTACTTACTTACTTACTTACTTACTTACTTACTTACTTACTTACTTACTTACTTACTTACTTACTTACTTACTTACTTACTTACTTACTTACTTACTTACTTACTTACTTACTTACTTACTTACTTACTTACTTACTTACTTACTTACTTACTTACTTACTTACTTACTTACTTACTTACTTACTTACTTACTTACTTACTTACTTACTTACTTACTTCGACCCCTCGAAAGCATAATATTTATGCTTTGATTTTAGTATAATACTCATTGTTACTTATTCACTTATAAGAGACATTATCTATTAATAGATTTCTAAACGTTTTAAATGTCTTAACATCTTAATCCCACAAGGTATTCGCCGCTAATGACCTTTGTAGTTGACGCGGCAGATAATTATCAATAATCAATCAATCAACTCTCCCTCCCCCCCGCCCCCCTATAATACATAAATAACAGATATTTCAATCCCGTTTCCGGATGCTTTTAATCCTCCGTTTAGGCTCAGAACGGCGTCGCGTCCTCCCCTCCTTTTCCCCCAAAAGAATAAATCCTCTTACCGTCCCCGTAATCTGGTGGCATCGCGCGTCGGAACTGCGTGAAGGCCGCTCCCCAGGTAGGATTCTTCAGGTTGTTGCAGGTGCCGTCGGCTGACCTGTACGGGTAGTCCGGGTCACAGGGGGGAGGGTGTGGGCGTAGCAGTGTCTGGTCGCAGTAAGGGGACTCGGACAGGTCGCCAACCCACTGGGAGTCGAAGGTTGTTGTTTCTCGGGTCATGTTGAGCCTGCAGGATGGTGTTCAATGTTTTGATTAAATCTTATATCTACTGATTGCTAGCCGTATTTTGAATTTTGTGTTCGTTATGATGATTATTAGTATATGTCAGTTATTAGGATTCTTTTTGGTGAATGTTAAGGTTGAGATTGTCCATAATGTTAGAGGAAATCAGTACTATTTCAAGGACCTAAGATTGGAACTAAAACTCCCTTTCTTTCGACCTCCCTCGAAAAAAATTAAAAAATATCCTACCCCATAATACCCAACCAATATTCTCATACCCCCTCCCCCCCCCCAAAAAAAAACAAGCTAAAAGAAAAGAAAAGAAAAAAAATCCACCTGTAAACAAAACAAAATCATAAACGAGCTAAAAAAAAGAAAAGAAAAAGTAGAAAACAAAAACTATAAACCACCTGTAAACAAAACAAAATCCTAAACAAGCAAAAACTTAATCTTAACATCCCCCCTCAAAAAAAAAAAAAAAAAATTACCTCGACTTAAAAGCAGCTGTGGCTTCGTCCATAAGGTACCCCTGCTTCGCCATCTTCGTCGCCAGAGGATGCGTTTTCCTGAAGGCTTGCTGGTGCTTGTAGGAGGCAGACCCATGAGCCAGGGTGAGGTTGCGTTTGGCCAACTCCTCCTCTATTTTGGCGGCCTCGGCTTGACGTGAGGAACCCGTTGCTAAGGAGTCGCTGTGAGAATTAGACTTGCTGTTACTCGTGTGGAATTCATGTTGAACA